GGTAAAGAAATCAATTATAGCTTGTATTACGAGACACGTCTTTTCACGCATTCAGTATATGCATGCATGTGTGTGTAGGTGTATGCTTTACTGAGCCATACTCACTCCCATAGTGCAAATTATTTCAACTAATATGTACGGAATGTTTACAATTATATAAAAGTATATGTTAAGAGACAGGCCATAACCAGGGATAAGATCCTATTAAAATAAGTTGGTGATTGGCACCAGTGTGTGACGCAAGGGAGCTTCTGGCGTTTCCGTGGAAGCTGCCAAACAGAACGTACAAACGCAGACGCCACGATACACCGGAAACAAATGAACAACCTGCAGCGAAACCTATCGCCGGTGGATACCGTTCCCCCTTGTGCTCCGCATCCATTTTGTTTCGTGTTGTGACGAATTGTGCTGAGATTACTTTTTTAAAGAAGGATTTTTTCTTGTGTGTTCGAGACTGTGATTGTCATTTTCAAATGTCTATCTGAAAAAGAGATTGAAAAACTTCTAAAAGTAAAAAATATGATCGGCCACCAGGTTCAGGTCTCCATCCACACGATACAAACCATGATTCAGAATTAAAAAAAAAAACATGTATTATATTTTTTGCCGAAAACCTTCCAATCGGAGGTGGTTACTGATGTACACATTATCCGGAGAAAAATGAATAGAGGTATTAACCCCCCTACCGCAATGGTGATTTTGATTTTCGATCGCCCTTCTCTACCGAAAACGATCTCATGTGGGTTCTGCGTAGTGTCAAGAGGTTTGGATACACTTAACAACGCTGCATGAGTAGTTCAGCCTGACTGTTTTGTGGAATGATTCTAAATGTCCACCTCTTCTGTATTGTATTAACTGCTCTGGGGAACATCCATTACATTCCAACAAATGCCCACATTTTGTAAGAAGGTGCGTCAATGTGAAGGTAGACGCCCCCCGGCTGAGCCAGAGTTGCTGGTAAAAGGAAATCTCACCTTGTTAGAAGAAACTGTCGAGGCAACTGACCTCTGATTCCAATAATATCTCCAGTTCCTCACACTCCACCCCCGACCTTTCTCAATAATAAGAGAGTATTGGAGACCGTTGCATTTAATTTTTCGAGGGGCTGGAAAGATTAAAACACCCTTTTCTCCACATAGGAAGTTTCTACTATCGCTAGCGCAACAAATTATTTTCAAAGATGTGGTCAAATATAGAACCAAATGCTAAAACGAATGCGATTTCTGCGTTAGGTTCTTCAGTGGAATTTGGATTGATCATTCCATCCCTGGGCATTATCGCAAAGTCATTGTCACCTCAATCCCTCATGAAGGCAATGATTGAACAATCCCATTAAGCTACTTGCCAATCTCGCTCACTAACCGGTGTATTATAGCAATTGGCAAACGTTCATCTTGCCTGTCTCCTGGAACCCAAAAGCTTCGTAATACCCAATCAATGTGACTTAAGAAAACACCACTCAACATTGCACCAGCAGACACGCTACATAGATCTCCACTTCAAACTACAACACGTCGTAGACACCTCTATGTGAATGCCCACGACACTATCTGGGGGTACGGCATTCTTCGCACTCTGCATTCTTGAGAACTCCGGGGCGATTCCCATTGTTCCTGTCAACAAGGTTTTCCGCGTTAGTCTAAATGGACTGCTATCCTTAGAGATTAAGTCGACAAAGAGAGCCTCTGTTAGTGGCCGTCTTTGTCGTTTCTACCAATGGTACAGTATCAGTCAAATGAGAGCCTGTGAAACCGTTCTTTGTTAACGACTTAGCGATTTTGACCTCTTACAAAACCATGTACGCTATACAGAGATGATTGCAGCTAGTCCTTAACAAATCGTAAGAGTAGAGCGATAAAATTGGATTCAAGTTTTCTATCTCAAAAACCACCTGTATGCAATTCTACAGGACTCGCCACATCATAATTACCCGCTCTTTTTTGATGTCATCAACTTTGTTTTGTCGAAGTTGCAACATTCCTTTCACCTCGCATTTGACAAAATAAGAACATGGAGTAACCACGTACGTCCACGCGAGGAGCAGAAGCGAGTCACCATTGCACATTCTTTGCATCCTCAAAGGTAGCTCACGGAGTGCAGACCGAGGACGCCTCTTGCGGTCTTCTAGAATTCCCATTCGTTCTCTGTTGAATTATGGAAGTATGTCTATGGGTAAGTATCTGTCAGCGCTACAGCCTTTGAATATCAGCCGTAATGCCAGTATTCTTATTAACACTGGCACTTAGTATTAACACTGGCACCTAGCACAGAATATATTTTCTTCAGATCATACGAAACGAAATGACCAGTCTAAGGTTCTCCCTCCCACCTAGCAAAACTTCACTCAAATCGGGGATCATATTATTCAGACAATCTTTCCTTCTCCCCTTGGTATCATCTGTAATATATGTTGAAAAACCTTAATTTTAAATCGCATATCCCTGTGAAACCCACCAGAAACCCTGTTCCTCTTTGAAACATTTGCAACTCCTAATAGACTTCAGATTATCGAACCACCTCAAATCAACTTTCTCCGGTACATTTGACGCACATTTTGGAAATGAAATCCACATCCCGACATCTTAATCTACACAGAAGTTCATCTCCAAATAAAAAGTAGGATGCACTTTTATTGTCCTAAAATCACCCGCTGCTTCCGAGATTTCTTTGCAGTGCGTATTTAATACAGAGAAATATGCACTATTGGAAGCACTAAATACGTTGAATCGTCATTACGGGGGGTTGGGAATCCACAACCCCATCGTTTTTGTCAGCCCCCTTAGCACAATCTCCAGCACCAAATTCGTTGTATAATGCTGCATCATTTTAATATGGTTTTATGTTACACTGGGCACACAAGAATAAATGGAAATGAAGTATTTTTTCAGACAACAAGGTTGGCCTTGAGGAACCCAAAAAATAAGCCATCCTTACGGTCCATCCTTATAACACGCAGCCTTTTATCAAATGTCCAGTTCTTCTAGAATGGCAAACATGGTGGCTAAATGTGTAAAATTACAAGCTCCATAGATCGCGGAGCTTTATCCGGTGGTACTTGGTATGAGGAGACAGTTACACGCCTTCAGGTCGGCTACTCCCGCGTCTCGCACGAATATGTTCTCCGTAGTGACGCTACCTGAATCTGGGACACAAGCACGATGAGAGCACCGCAGAATTTGGTGATGTACGAAAAAACACGAAAAAGGAAATTATAGCTTATTTTCCCAATGTAATTTAAAAACCACAAACTTTTCGTAAATATTAACCCAATGAGAAAAGTAAGAGGATAAAATTGCCTCAATTTTATGATTTAGGATCAACAGTATTGTCTTTACTATGAAAAATATGCCTGAACGATACTGTGGAAATGGCACTTAACTTAAACTTTCCACTCACTAACTCATATATGTAATTAACATCTACAAAAGTTGTGTACAAATAAATACTGCCCCTTTTGAGTCGATATACATTTAATTGGAAAAATAAAAGTAAGTAATTAGCATGAGAAAGAAAATTAATATTTTGGAGGAGATGGACTGCACCTTCGACGGCTTAGAACCAACAAATAAGAGCGTGATTGAAGTTCATGTGATCTAGTAGATCTGATGGCAATTTTGAGAGCTCTCTGCAACGGATAATCTGTTAATTGGAGGAAAAAAGCTTGATGTCATCAAATTTACGTAACTTTATCTTATTTTATTCCATATAGTATCATTATTCACCAAAAATGGATGGCTTTTCAGTTCTTTTGAAAATATGTTATTTTTATCCACTTTTTGCCAACAGAAATGTGTTTCCGAGTAAAAATTCTTATGAGCAACCCGAAAACATATAGAAACCAATTATCAAAACTACACCGAAACGTTCTGCTATTGTCCTTTTAGAGCACCATTTGACTGGACTATGAAGTAGGCCAGGTGGAACGATGGCCACACAGCAGCTGCTCTGTTTCGGACGCGTGGCGGTGGCCTCCAACCTCCGGCTCCTCTAGGACGGACGAGCAGAGGGAGGTAGCAAATCTCTGTATCTAGACACATTTCTGTGAAACCTGTATTAAGCGACCACTGCTGGTTCCGTGAAAAAGAGGTCTTTTTTTATAGGTGGTTGATTAATTATCTTCTTTTACAGAAAATTGTATATTATCAGTAGACATAGGATGATAAGAAATGTGCCTATTATATCTTATGTTTATAAAAAGTTTTAAGTATAGGTCCACAAATTATGAAAAATGAAATATTTTGACTGTTTCATTTTGCCTTTTCTGCCTAGTTTTATGTAACTGTCTTTTTAGACATTTGCGATATTTTAAATTTAAATTGTTTTTATCTACTTCCCTTGGTTAAAAATAAACGTTCAAATACTTGTCAGTTTTAGTTCTCTTGACAGTGGTCTACCAGTAACTAACCTCCATTTTCTTGTGACTTCGTACTCAATGCATGACACATTTTATGTCTTAGAACATAACTTCGAATTTCTCGCACTGTTTTGCACATAAAAAAATAACATCAAGCTATGGGACTTGGGCTAATACTAGGGTCAGATTCCGGATGCAAAACAAACACTTGCGTGTTACAGGGTAAGTCGATAACAATGACTTCTGACAATATTCTACCCGCCAGTTCTTTCAGTAATGTAAGGTGAGCAAGGCACTGTTAATTCAAAAAAATAACGTTAGGTCACTTTCATATCCGTCGACATATTAAAAGAAATGCAACTGAAATGGAGCGAGCAACTCAATACCATTTATTGTTACTTGACATACAGGATTTTACGGAGGAAATGAGGGAAGTCCCACAAGATCTCTCATGAAGCCGATATATGTGGATGTCCAAACTGACGGCAAAAGATTACAAGAAATAGGAGGAAAATGGAATCGAAACTTAGAAGTGCGAGGAATGGCATGCACTATAGAAATTAACGCGTCATTGTTTGTTCAATCGTTTTCAAAGGAAGGGAAAACCTAGATTCATTAATAATTGTTCTGAAGGCATCTGCCTTACCTGTCAGCCAGCCTCCTATAAGAGCGAAGAGCCAAGCGGCACCAATAGTGACTGAGACTATAGCCTCATGCCATTCTGTAGTCAATTCAAATTCATCCCTGAAACACAGAAAACCGTAAGGAAATAACTTTAGAAACTTAATGTGTATAATTGCGTAGGATCAAATTCACAAATGAGTAGTTAGAAAAGAGATTAGATGAGCTACGCTACATCATATTTTAAAATTTTTCAATGTAAATACACGAAAAGTAATAGGATTAAAAAATACTCCTTCGGATTAACGCAGCCAGCTTCTGCTTACTCAGCTACTTGTAGAATACTCATCGTTAAAATAGTTGCATCCGGAAGGACGGAAAAGATTACAATAATATTTGGCAGACAAGTAAGCAAAAACGACAAATGATAACAAGGCATGCACGCAAAAACGAATTAAGCAACAAAACTATGTAAAAACAGTAATACAGCCACCTATTATGGGGGTTGCAAACTATTTTTTGAGAAGTAGGCTGTCATCCATGAGGAGTGGTGTAGAAAAATACTGGAGTTTGAATTTCTTGTGATTTTCAAAACCGAATTGCGATGTAAAAGCAAAAGAAGGCCGGCATTTGCCGCGATAGCATGGCCTCTTGCCAGACAAACAAACGGCATAAATTTACCTTACGAGATATAGCCATTGCATTTTCTCAAATAATAAACTATGTTACTAGTTAGGGGCTAAATTAAGGGTTTTTGTTTAGTGTGTTTTGAAACATTCCCATCTATCGAAGTGAAGTCTAATCCTATCGAATTGTTTCCAATGGTAACAAATAGTATTTATTACACAAATGTGAAAATATTCGTTTTATTATTTTCTGAATCGGAATATATTTTCTTGAGGTACGTAAGAACGCATAAAATAATCCCATACTTGTTAATATACAAATATTTTTTTTCAATTTTGGCACCCCAGCAAGCTGCCCCCCTGCGTCTCCAAAAACCCCTCTGTTCCTCATAACAAATCAAGAAAAGTTAAATAATATTGCAAAGAGTAGGGTTGGTTGTATTTGCCTGATCCTGCATTTTCACATAGAAAATTTTACTTGGCTTTCTTGAGAGTAAAATATTTTTCTAATATTTTTGTGACTATCAAGGAAAGCTAAAAGCTGTCAAGGAAGAACGAATAATTACTTCAAATGTTAAGGAAGTGTGAATTGTTCGAACAACAAATCTATATAATACTGAATAAAATTTTATTGAAAATTTGTTTCAAATATGAATTGCATTGTTTTTATTTTTGTTCGATATTCGGTAAGTACGAACATTTATACATTTTTTAACAAATAAACACGTTTCATTAACAACATTTCTTCTTAATGGAAAGGATAGGGAAATGGAGGGCATTAACATGCGAGAGTTCCCCCATGAGTAAGCTAGTAAAACTTAATTCTTTTACAATAAATGTATATAAAAATACTAAAATGTTATGAATGATTAAATTATTACATTAAATATTGTGTAATCCTGAAAAGAAGCAAATTCAAATACGGAGAATTAACAGAAAATATATATTTCACTCTTATACTTCAACATATTCCTCACTCACCGATTTAGAATTTAAAAAAGAAAGTGTTGATGCATGCTTTAAGGAGATAATATTCATTTTCAAGATACATTCTAATTCTAACCAAGTAATGTAAGCGTTGGTATAAGCGTGGATACTTTAAACCAGCCAACTGTGTTTTGAATACGTACATTTTGTGTCGCTCTTAATTAGTCCAGAACACTCAGAGAAAGGCACTTCCTCTCCAAGTGCCAAGAGCACGGTGGAGGGTGAAAATTCAAATATTGGAGTGTCTGATGGCGCGAAATTAACCCACTAAATTGTATTTATTCTGGTCAGTTCATTTTGTTAAAGATGAAAGTAAGAGATGAACCGTGACGCGATTTGATGCAAATAACATCAACCATATATGGCATTATAAACCCTTCGGAACTTCATTAGTAATTACATGCATATAAATGAATTGTTGGAGAAAGGCAAACGCTGATACCTCAGCAATTCTGTGCGATACAGTGGCTGGAGAAGAGCTGAATAAGCAAATAGAAAAATAGGGGCAGCATTAAATAAACGAAACAGCAAGATTCTCATCACGCACGTCAAAGAGGTTGCAAACCATGCACAAGGCATTATCGTTGTCAGAGTAGCGAAAATTGGAAAGGAAAAGAATTGTATTACAATACCACACATAAATTTCAAACACTGATTCTAAAAACTGCTAAACGCTTCTGCTGTCGTCTTCTTTCGATTCGTCGTTTCTTGCTAATACGTGTTGAAAGCGGCAGAAAACTTCAAGGGTCGTGAGAGAAATGACCTCTCTTAAGCTGGCACTACAACAATCGGTTACCACAAAACCAAACATGCCACCATTTAGAAGTATTTAATTGCTAATTAATTACGCCAAACATTTCTTTCTCTCTTCAAATTTTTGCGCAATTAATGGCGAGCAAGCTTAACATTAAGCTGGCACACGACAATTTGTTACCACAAAAACAAATATGACATATTGCAGTATTATTTAATTGCTCATTAAATACCCAAAAATTATTTAATTGCTCTTCAAACTTCCAAGTAATTAATAGTGAACGAACCCTTAATATTTAAGTTGGCGCAATCGGTTCTCACAAAAGCACGTATACCACCATTTAGAACTATTTAATTGCTAATTAATAATGCAAATTTTTTTTTTTTGTTTTTTGCTTTTCAAATTTTTGTGAGATTAATGGTGAGCTAACTTAAGATTAAGCCGACACACCACAATCGGATACCACAAAAACAAATATGTGATGTGTATATAAATAATAATAATAATAATAATAATAATAATAATGATAATAATAATAAATTAAAAGTGGAATGTTCCAAGGAGATTCACTGTCACCACGTTACGATTTTGCCTAGCAATGAACCCTATGCCCAAACTTCTTAATAACAGCAAAATTGGGTAAAATTAATTAAAAGAAACAACTTACGCATGTCTCACTTGTTGTAGGTTGATGACCTCAAACTCTATGCAGAGAGCAGAGACAAATTTCACGGTTTAATTGAGACAGTTAAAGTGTTCAGTGAAGATATAAAGGACTAGACAAATGTGCCATTATAGACATAAAAAAGGACAAGATCGAAAGCCACAATGAACCAATTAGAGACATTAAGGGACTTCGACCTGATGATGTTTACAAATATTTAGGTATGGCTTAAAGCTACCGGATGGATCATTCCGGCATGAAGAAAGCTCCGACCGATAAGTATAGATGAAGAGTTACAAACGTTCTGGACGCTAAATTAAACGGGAAAATTAACTCCTGGGCAATTCCTACACTTTCATTTTCTTTCGAAATTCTCAAGTAGTCGTGCTGAATTAAATAGACTGGCTAGAATGCTGCTTACTAAATTTAGGTGTCTTCGTACAAACTCGTCTATTAAAAGACTATACCTACCCCGAAGAGGAGGTAAGGGACTGGTAAACATTGAAAATCTCTGCAGAAACCAAGAAAGAGAAATGGAGCAAAGTTATTCTCCTGTGAAGATGCCTAAATGAAAATGGCTGCACAAGCAGATGATGGTTATACTTCACTAAACTTAAGTGCCTTTAACGCAGGAACCATAACAACTACTGCAGAACAAAAGAGACAATTCAAAGAGATCTAGAAGAGTAGCAACAAAAGGCAATGCACGGAAAATTTCCTAAAGCTATCCATGAGCCTCACGTGAAACACAGTCCTTGCTGCAATGGATATCATACGGTTATTTATACCCAGAAACAGAGGGATTTATAATAGCAATTCAAGATAGAGTATGCCGAACTAGGAACTACGAGAAACATTGCATCAACATGCCCATGGTTGAAAAATGCAGGAAATGCGGTACCAGTGGTGAAACAATCGAGCATATAATGGTTGGATGTACCGCGGATTTACAGACAACGCATACTTGGGGAGACACAACCAACTAGCTAAGATTGTCCATTAACAATTGGCTCTCAAACATGGGATGTTAAATAGTGGAGCTCCGCCGTGTTATAAATACAACCCAGCACCTGTAATGGAAGCAAATAGTACAATCATTTACAGGAACAGATCCCAAATAACAGTTAAAACTGTGGCTTTCAATAGACCAGATATAGTTTTGATTGACAGGGACAAGAAAGAAGTTATGCTTGTTGATATTGCCGTGCCGTTGACACACAACCTAAAGGAAACAGAGGCCGAGAAAATTACTAAGTATGAAGATCTTGCTGTGGAAATAAAACAAATGTGGAAACTAAAGAGTGTAACAATATATCTACTCAATATTTCGGCTGAAGGTGTAGTAACAAACACTAAAAAAATGGGAGTACCTCAACGAATTCTAAATTACGGACAGAAAGCAGTGATCCTGCAAACATGTCATATAGTTCGCAAGTTCTCGAAGAAATGAGGCTCCCATATCGATCTTGGAGGGGGGCAGCAGATTGAAATTTCTCCCCCACTCTTTAACGTGGCAGGAATGGGCAAATTGAACCCAGCACAAGCTGCTGAGAAATAAAAAGAAGAAGAACAAGAACAAGAAGTAGAAGATACCGATGAACTTGCAGAAACAGTGGAACATGTTCACGAATTCTGAGAAGAGGACCTCTTCCAAGCAATTAAGATGGGAAACTGGAAATCCCCCAGGATTGATAAGATACAGAAGTATTGGATTAAGAAATTAAAAGCATTACATTCTCATCTAGAAAAGACTTGATAAAATTTTAGAAAACCCAAAGGAAGTACCTATGTTCACACGCGGCATCAAGTATCTCCTACCCAAATGGGAGACACAAAATGAGGGATTTTTTGGCGGAGAACCACAGGCCAATCAGTTGTAGTGCAAGAGAACATGCTCCACGGTAAGACCCGTCTCGCAACTATCGCATGTAGGGGGTGGGCTACCGCGGAGATGTCCGTGAGAGAAATGACAGTGATCTATCCGAAGGCGTGTCAGACTTTTCTCCTTGCGCCTTGCACAACGAGATGAATACCAAGACTTTAACGAAACCTTGATTTTTGTGAGTTTAAAATATGCGTTCTGCCACCCTGT